CTCTGTATAAAACACAAAATATAAATATAAAGTGCCATATAACTATAAGTTGTAACTCAAAAAAAAATTCAAGTTATAATTGGATAAATTATTTGTGACTATTCGCAGTCAAAACGCTATTGCCATACAATATTACAATATTCAAGTACTGTTAGTACACCTACATAATATAATTAATATAGTTTATTTTATACAATGTTTTCAACTAATTAAGTCGTTGATGAAACAGTTTAATAATATTGATTGAAGCTTTATAAGCTTAACAAATTTTATTTTCAGAATACTAATTGAATAATCATGCACCTATAATTATATCGAACTGTTTAATTTTAATTAGTTTTCATATTGTTTCAAGAGTTTGCGAATTTTGAGAAACTAAATTTGGTGCGTCATAAAGCCCGCAGATAGTTAGATGAACTTTCGCTAGTTATGTACACAATGAAAAAAAAATTTAAAACCATCCGAGGACAATAATTTGATAACTTGAGTGTTATGACGAGTGACGTTCAAACGCCAACCGTTTCGTTGATAAATTATTACCATGTCAAACGGAAATACACCCTTATCAAAACTGTCATATACCTACCTATATTATAATAATATAGATGCAAGTCGAATAATGCTTTACATGTTGTCTGGCGTTCGTTACCGAGATTTCGGAAGGTTTTCTATTAGTTGACTCACTCCTCTTCATTATATTATTATATTATATCAGCAAATCGTGACGATAACGATAACGCAGGTAATAATTTCAAAATAATCTTTAACCGACACACCGTGTCTTTGGATATCGAGTGGATTAGTATCCATTTTATCGTTTTCATATATTTTCGATACACGTTTGACTTGTATCAATTTTTTTTATTTTCATTTTCGTCGGGTCCCTCAGTTGCACACTATGTATTATAAGTTAAAATGATTATAAACTCATGTCTAAGAGCCCTCAGGACTAATAGATTCCAAAGGACATTTCATAAGAAATCGTTTTATGCATTTGGACATGGTTGATGCAGTTGTGTTAGTCATGAATTATGAATACTCGACGTGTCAGAATATTGGGCACAATTATTGTAAAAGTACTGGAAACTAGTTTACGCATGGCATGCCAACAATATTATATTCTATGCCTACGAAAAAAATGTTTTATTTTTTACTCAAAAAGTCGATTTCAAATACGCAATATAACGTCGCAATGCTTACTCCATTTTGATTCTGGGAAAATATTTGAATTGTTCATAATATTCACAATACATTAATAGTTTGTGAGGCGATACTATTAAATCCTTTCCAATTGCATTATTCCCAACACAATATCAAAATATGTTTATATAATATATTCAAAATTACTTAAAATTGTACTTTTGTGTGTAAAGATTTTATTCATGCATTTTCAATAATAATATATAAAAGATAGTTGAATAATAAATAAGGTTTACATTTAGTACTATAATTTATGATAATTCAAAGGATGAAAACAATTCGACGGCCATTCTCTCGGTATGTACATGTCATATGGACAGTTACTTTTTCATTTCGTTAAGAAAACAATGTATAAGTTGGAAGTTAATAGTTGGAATTTAGGATTAAAATTATTGGTTTTTTACTAAAAATACGATATTCGCACGCGGGCATCATAATATGTGTATAATATAACTAATATAATGGCCTACTTGTATGATAGGCACTATGATGTTTGCACTTATAGAGTTTATCACAAGTACGTTTGATGTGTAAATATGTTAAAATGTAATAATATTATGAAAAATTTATTGTAATAATACATTATGCTCATTTTAAAATTAAAAATTTTCTCACACAAATTAATTTCAATAAAATGTTATAATCCATGGTTAATGGTTATAACATATATTTTTGTTTCTAAGTATCTGTAATTTATAATTTGAACTAAGCACGGAGGGTGTAAATTGGTGATCGTATTAAATAGGTATGTAAAAACATTTACTGAAACTTTTTTTTTATTAAAATATTTTTTGATGAACAATACACTATACACGTCGTACTCTTCATAACCAACAATAATAGTTATCAAGGAATAAATTACAATTGGATACAGTATTTGATGTAAAAATAAGCTTCCGTTTCATTATTCAGCGGACTTATATTTAAATCGTTATTATAACTTCCACACAATTTTCTAATATTTTACCTATTGATATAATAATTGCACGGTTATAGTTTGTACTCAAAGATACCACATAATTATATAAGACATAATGATATATAGTTAAAATAAATACAAAATATATTATAATATTTAACTAAATCAATACATTTATATTTATAATTATAATTATAATAATAATCCAATATAAGGATAGGTGTACGCTGTTTCAGGCCACACATATTCGTGTGAACAGACCTCATTATCTCGACCACGCAATCGAAAAACGAGAGGTTAATGTACATAATATAATGTTGTGCTGTTTTTGACTGTATCGCGTGCACAATTTTTTTGATAGGTAAACACAATATTATATACCTGAATGTAGATTTTAAAAAAAAGCGTCTAATACACGTATGTACCTTATGTGTCATTAAAATAGGTATTGCTAATGGTAATAACAATTATATGACTAATTATTTGCAAATATATTATAATACGTTTGACAGGCCTCACGTATTGAATTTTTACCCACTTTCTCGTACTTGAATTGTGGTGTGTACCACGAGCACATTTATTATTTATATGAAATTAGCCCATACCTACGTATTAAATTACGAATGTCCAGCACGTTTGTGACGCATAACAACGTGAGAGATAACAAATGTTTTAGACTTAAAAAAATTGTACCTGCGGTTTGCTGTGCAAGTCTAACCGTAAACGATATATCAACGGAGGTATAGTGTTGTAATTAAATGACTAGGATCAGCTCAGAGGAATGGTGCGGATATCACGATAAAACGTGCCTATTATTTCAAGATAAACAAAATAATAATGATAATAATATAATAATTTAGTTACAACGAGACGTTACTAAACACGGTGGCGTTAGGAGATCTAAGACCGACGACCGTGCGACTGATTATAGTATCTAATAATATTACAAAGGTAATAATGAACGCAGTGAGATTAATGCAATTGCCTGCGAATAGGTAAGCGACAATGTCGTTCTGGGATACTCTATTGTTTGCTAAATAATAGTAATACTACTACTAATAATAATAATATTGTTATAAGTGTTCAGCTAAATGCCATCAGATTAATAAACAACACGTTGTGAATGGCCAGAGCATTTTTATTTTATACATTTTAATTCGCTCAATATTAATGAAATACAATTTTACATAAGAATATTAGGTTATACATAAATGTACTATTTAATATTCATATTTTTTTTCGTCATATATACACATAAAAACAGCCGTAAACCTACTTTAAAATATTACGTTTATAATTATCTGAAATTCAATTGTACAGCAATAGTTATAATTTTTTTAAATTTTGAACCTCACCCGGAAAATTCCAGTTACTCGGATTTTTCGTTGACCTGATTATTTGTATTAAATGTACCGAGATGGATATCCAAGACCTTTCGCCTACAATATCATACGTGTTGTCCAATGTGTAGGGGTAATTCACTGTTCAAAATGAATTACAATAACTAAACATCTTTATCATTATAATGTATTATATTATTATTATTATTATTTATTTGTTTTCATTTAAAATAGAAGTGTATACATACATGTAAATTATTACAAATATTTAAACTTATTATAATTTGGCATTATATATAAATGATTGTCTCCGTAAGCTAGGCTTGTTGTACGTTTTAAATTGATCACAAGCATTAAAATATTACTTTGAACAATTGAAAATGACATTTATTACGTTAACAACCCGTTACTTTTGAAAGTATAACTTACTTAACAAGATTTTGTAGTGAATTAAAAGTTTTTGGATTTACCTCGTCATCAAATTCTCATATTATGATTATTCATTATTTGCCAACGAGAAAATCATTAAAATAGTAGTCCAATCTATTATCATATTTTACAACACCGATTTCCCATTTATTTTCAAATTTAAACCCTCGTCGGTTTTAAATCAACTATACCTACATTATACTCGTGCATTGTCAGTTGTCACTCATCATTGATCACATCATATCATATTATTTATCCCATGCCTGAATTAAGCACTTTAATATATATTATTATTTTATAACTGCCACTCGGGTTTGGAATTTTTGAAAAGCATCCACTGTTGTGAACTTCCAGTAAAACCAGCTGCAAGTGAACAATAATGTGTCGGCAGGATGTCAATTAATATATCTTTAAACTTGTCCTCCGACCTCCGACCGAAATCTCAAAGGCCTACGAAGAAACGGTCCACCGCGATATCACTGTAATAAGTCGTGCACGTCGATGCCACAATAATTTCCAGCGATACACCAAGTGTGGACAGGACTGTTTCCCGACGAGAGCTAAAAACTACCACTAAACCCAATTGTATAAGATTTATTCAATCATACGCACATGTCATAACGTTTTTTGTTTTTGCACTGAACAACACAATGCTGTCATATTATCATTTACTCGACCGACTTTTGCGAGAAGTTATTACTCCTAAAGGTTCACATAAATATCGTGACTATTTCGTGTAAATAATTTCATATATATATATATATGTAGGTATATACAGGGTGATACATCAAGCGCCAATTTGTTGTCCTTCAATAGTGCAATAATAATTCAAAACCGGATTCCTTTTCGAATCGTTTCTATGTAAAGACAATTATTTTATTATTTTTATTTTTAAGAACTAGAGGTACCTTTAATGTATATATATATATAAAAAAAATGACATCGTATTAAAAAGAACCTTTATTTGTCATGACAGCTATATCTATTCTAAAATATATTGCACGGCGTAAGCTTACAAAATAAAATTATAAAAAAAAAGTCTATGATGGTCGGTAATGTTATTGTTATACATTAAAACTATATTATACAATAGTAGTCCACGTCACGCACATAATAATAATAATAATAATAATATTACATCGAGCAGCTCCTCCTCCTCCTCCTCCTCCTCCTCCTCCTCCTATCGTCCCGGTGCGACGACGCTTTTAGAAAAACAGGAATTTCCGGTCGCCGGCGTTCTCGTTGTCGCCCATATGGAACCGCCGCAGAGAGGCGCACATCGTAGACTCCCTGACGCCGCTCCGGTTGGCTATCGTCATGCGGACGCCCCCGAACGATCTCGGCTCCAACGGGTCTGGTGACGTACCGGGCTTGGTGCTGTCCACGATCACTTCGTACCGGGACACCAGCATGGCGAGGACGAGCTTGGCTTCCAGCTCCACGAAATGTTTGCCTGCGGACATGGAATATAATATATTATTGTTATTATTATTATTATCGTATGTCGTGATGATAGCAGCGCTTCCATATTTTCGTTACCAGCAGCTATGTATTGACACCGCGATAAAAAAATAAATAAACAGACATTTTTAAAATAAAAAATGTTTTTGAGTTTAAAATAATCTAAGTATAAAAAAATAGATAAAAACCTCTCGTTACCATTTCACAATTGTCAATACATCGTATGCATCATTGTTGATTGCATTAACTGTTAGTACTGATATTTTAATATTTATTCTAAAAAAAAGTAAAAACGGTGCCTATAAAATATTTATGCGGAGTAGTGTATTTCCCAGAAACTTTTAATGTACGTACCTATTATGATTACTCTAAATATAATTGGATTGTTTCCACTTAACATAACATTTTCAATTCATTAGGAAAAAATACTTTTTCTTAAAAAACCATTTTTTGTGAAATTTTCCGGGAAATTCCAGTTTTTTCGTAAAAATAATTTTTTCAGGAAATTTTAAATAAAACTAAATGTTTCTATTTTTTTCGGAAAACCTTTTTTTGGGGAAATTTTGGTTCTTAAGTAGGGCAACGGTTAAAGTAATTACTTAGAAATGTGCGAAAGTTACACGATCTCTAGAATTTAGTAACAATATCTAATTTTTTATAGGAGTAAGGTTGTTAATTTGTCATCAGTTATTCCAGAGATGATCCAAACTTAATTTGTTATTTTTATTTTTTTACAAATATTAGCTCGATAGTTTGAAGCAGGCTAAGTGGTCACAATTTTAATTACCTAATATAATATACCCATCATAATAGATAGGTATACATAAATTATGCAAAAACGCTGTCACTTTTAAAATTATTTTATTGTATCCAATATTATTTTGATTGGAACGTCATAAAATGCCGGTTCCTGCTATTAATTTGAAATCAGATCTGGTGATATCATGACGTAAATTACTGTAGAAAAAAATATAGTAAAACCTAAAATTAATATAATATCAATCCTATTTTCTATGATAAACCATTAATATACATCATATTATACATTGTTTTTAAGGCACTATTATGTACATTACGCAATTTTACCTATCAACGATACACAAAATAACTTTCATTTCGTCCATAGTAATTATGATATATAGGTTTGATAAACACCAAGGTACCTATGATAAACACCTCAATTTTCGTATCACATTGTAATCATTTTTTAACGTTAATAAATAATAATATATTAGTACTACTATTGATTTTATATTAAATATTATAAAATCGATGGTACTGCATACAATATTCAAATAGAAACTACGTTCTACATTATACTTACATTATTTACTGATTTTAAGTCATAACGATAAAATTCTATTAATTTATAATTGAAATGTTGAATCCATTATTCTTTTTTATAAGTTAAAAAAAAAATAAACAAAAAAAACCTAAACGTTTACACCTGTTAATTGAGAATTATTATTACTGTAGAAAATAAAAAACCTATCATAATATATAAAAATAAAGTTTTTTTGTATAAAAAAAAATGTATTTTCATTAATTTTTTTTTTTCATTGTAATTTATTTACATGACTATTGACCAATCGGTTAACAAAAGTCAGGGGAATGATTAATATCCCACTTGTATTTTGAATAATATACCTTTTAATTTTACCTTAAAAATAACTCGTTGGTAAATTGCAATAAGGTTTACGTTAATTCGTTCGATTTTAGTGTAACATTGTGAGTAGATTAAAAAATATATTATGCATAATATCCTTTTCTACTAAATTTAATTAATACCAGTTAAATATGCCTTCTAATCAAGATAAATAAGCTTTTTGTTAGCTTTATAAAGAAAAAGTTGCAAGCAAAATAAAGGGTATCAACAACTTAAATAATAATGATATAGCAAAAAAGTCATAAACTTTATGGTGCACTTGGAACTTCATTTGAATAAAAACATTATTCTAACCACTATACGAAGTAAGAAAGTCAAATACATTGATACATAATGTATTCATTTTTTTTAAATTAATCGGAATAACAAGTAACAGTATCCATTGTTATTTTAAGAAGTTAAAATATTTCTAGTTCAGTAATAATTAATTTTAAAATTTAAACTTAACAACTAATAACAAAGGCTATATCGCTTAAATGTTGAATGTTTATGTTTTCTTATTAATGTAGAGCAAATGTAACAACTAACAACAAATTATAATGTTCGATAATAACAATTATATTGTTAGTTTTTACACAACGTTTAAAATTTAAATTTATCGATGAATAACAATATACTTACTAAATTGGGTATTAAAATCGGTACAAAAGGTATTCAACTAGGTACCCAACAAGCGGTATAAAATGTTACAGGGATTTGATGAAATGTAATACTATAGTAATATTACGATAATATGACCGTTGAGTTATTGCTATTATATTGTGGAATTAAAAAAAAAAAGGCTTATTTTTGCCAAACGGTTATAAGCAGACGCTTATATTGAACATTGAAGAAAGTCTATTTATAACAGTTGACAATATAAATAAAATTATGAAAATATAGTGTTCTCCTACGCATGTACATACAATGAAATATGGAAATGAAGGAAAACAGGTCACTACGAACAGTGTCACAAATATATAATATATATTATATTATATTATAGTGTATATACTTATAATATATATATATATATATACATAGTATTTTGAATTGTTATATGTTATGTACATGTGCACGTTCGTATACGATGTCAAAGTAAAAGCTCTTTAAAAAAAAAAAACACACCTCACATCCCACACACTTCACCGAACTCCAGTTGCAAATGCACGTCGTCTATATTATAGTGCTGCCCAGGTCAACGACATGTACCTATATAATAATATTATATACCTATACTCCTCCTTTGACAATGTATTTTTGTCAAACTACCCACGTAATATATTATTTAAAATGCCTACCTAATAATAGTACCTATAAACGCATATTATTACTGTTATTGATTTGTAGTTCTTGCATCTGCTTATTCATACGATATTATAATGTTGTAATTAAAATTATTCGTACATAAATACGATATTAGACCCACTTATATATAAATGTATATGGCCACAAATGGACAACTACAACTTTAATTTAAACGTAATAATTAGGCCTTAGGACAGTATTTTGGAATTGTATGTTTTTCAAAAATCTTTATTCTACGCATAGCTCGGCGTGGTATATATATATATATATTTATAAACGTGTTCCATAATACAAGGGGCAGAAGTTTATAGTGAAAAAATAATACTGCACATTTTGCTCATCCTCGTCTATAAAAATGTTTTAAGTCGATGTTTTACACATTATATTTTAAAACTCGTACCGGCTCATTATTGTGAAAAAGCAACCGAAAATGACTTTTGATTTTATTTGTATGACAATACGTATTATTCGATCGAAGTTATCATTGCAAATCAAGTCGGTCTATATCTATACGATTACCATGTGTTGTTAATATTTTCATGAAAACATCTTGAACATATTTAATATTGCAGTTCACTCCCTGTGTTCACTAAGGTATCAATATTTTCTACAGTCGCTATCATATTATCTTTTATTTTGTGTATTTTTTTTATTTATAATGTAATAATTATATACTGTTATGCTGTTGGATACCAATCTACCGACCAACCCAATCGTATGGTTTCAATATTAACATCAAGACGTGCAATTTCAATTGAATGAACTATCAAATGAATTAAATGTTTATCGCTAGAAATTATATACAAAGAATGGCTTTTTTAAAAAAAACCGCCAATACAGGTACCTACTCTCAGTGTGCACTACGCAGATTTAATATTCGTAGGTAAACGTCCGCGGTGTTATAATAATATACGTATCCCAACAAACAGCGTAACGAATGACATTAAAAATGGGTAGTAATTCTCATTCAAACGGAAATCGATCTGTGTGGGCGTGTCCCTTTCATTTAGTTAGACTTCGCGCATAGACTTCGTACACGCACGTCGGTAGATAATCAGTCTCGCGAAAATAACTAAAAATTGTTTATTTATATTTTTTTTTTTTTTACCCAAAACGAGACAATTTTACCTATGCATCTGGTGATATTTCCCACAATGTCATACGACCTTGTACACTGTAACGCTGGTATGGAATAATAAACTTTATATGAAGGGGTTTAGTCAGAAATTTATTCGGAGAGTTATATTTTAATGGTTGTGTGGTTAGTGATTTACGCATGACGTAAGGAAAAATCTAAACATAATTTATTTATTTTGATAATATAATTGCGGCCTGAACGAACATAATGAACATAGTAATATGAATAAAAAAACGTATGAGTTGTGACGAATATACGATGATGGATACCGGAATATAGTTACTAAAGAGATTTAAAAAAACCGAAGTAGTCTCTCAGCTTCGAGGTTTCTATAGTGTTTGAACCTTTGCGGAGAATGTTACCACTGTCGTGGATGTGTTGTCTGATATTAATATGTAATATAGTATATTGTATATAATATAATAAAGTTTTGTGGAACAACACATTATTAGTCGCTCTACGTAAATGAATTCAAAAATACTGGCAATGTATTATTGAGTTTGGGACAAGTGATTAAAATCCTAAAATTTGGTTGAAATTCGCATAAAGCAGTGAATCATGACTGACGGGTGTCACGCAATCAACTAATTTGAAGTGGACAAAAATCAATTGAATGAAAAATGAAAAAAATAAACAATATCATAGTTTTTAAAATGAATTGCTTTCGAAAAGTCGAATTCAACAAACGTTCAAACGAAAAGGGGGAAGTCGCTCTTGCAGGGCCTGGTGGAGCTGTGGTTGGCCGCAGTCTCTAATGTGCGCTGTGGTCAAGTATCATCTGGAGTCATTAGCTCCTGTGTGGGTGACCACCCAAATCTTTAGCGACGATTTCTCATAATATATACTGCACATGTTCCTCAACCAACATTAACCCTTTCACACGCACAATGACCAATGCTGCTGGGAGTAATTAAACAAAGGTCCATTTCACACTATATTAAAGATTAAGTTAAACTAGTCATTTATTTTGTCCCTGTAATATGGATTTGTTAAATTTGAAGTCGACTATAAATATTAAATAATTGAATACGATAAAAAACGATTCGGAGTGGAGACGATTTATCAGTCCATAATAATATTTTTTTTTTAAATTTCGTAATTTTAACGAATTTTGCCAACATAATATTATATGAAATTCAAATGCTTATAAATCAAATTCTATTCATATATTTTTTCACACTTATTAATAGCTGATAGACAAACTTGTGAAAACCCCTTTACTAGCTATTCAAGCTATTTTACTCATAAACATCAATTGTATTGTACATAAGTCAAATAAAACTGAAAGCAATTCAACTATAAAAATATCTTCAAAAGTGTCAAAATATATGAAAATATTGTTATGTCTAAAAATGATAATATAAAATATTTGGTTTGACAATGTCAGGGTCTGTACAGTTTTAAAATTGCAACTAAAAAAAATAAAATCGATTTTGTCAACTATTTCAGCGTAAAATTATTATTTGATATCCCATACATGTTTGTATTTTATTATGTTTTTATAATTACCATGTAAAGTACTAGGGAATTTTTTCTTTCGAAACCATAAAAAGTATCATTAGGTAAAAAAAAAACACACACACATCGTGGTAAAACCAATACATCCGTCGCTCCATTCTGAACATAAAATATGATATGTTTATTTAGGTATTATAGCCATGACAAATAAATTTATTTTATGAATTTGAAAAGCAAATTCCCATAATAGAGTAGTCTGCGTAGGTGCATATCGAATTGGCGTTAGTGCAATGACCATTGACCTAAGTGCCCAAGTGTAGCTATCCATTTTTTTCGAAAGTGATGTTTCCATATAAGATTCCGGTAGAGAAGAAGTCGGCTGATATTTCTATGTAATAATACCTGTTGAATTGGTTATTATTTCGCCCAACAAAACCCAAAAGAAGCTGTCTTGTTTTAAAAGTGTTCTCCGCAATAACAGGACAACTTTGGAGCTGACTTGTCCTAGTAATGAATTCAGTGATCAACGTTGTTCATTATCGATATCGATATCAATGTGTTACGCTTTTTTTTTGTATGATGACAACGTATTTACTGTCGTCCCAGCCTTAAAATATATATTTACTATCAATGGTACCTACTTTTTTAACAAATAATGAATTATTATTTAAAAAATTTATATATAGTATTCATCAACTCAAATAGGTACCTACTTATTTTTTATTATTGTTGTGCAATTGTTCATGTCTTATATTCGTATTAAAATAAGTTATTACATAAAATAAAAAAAAATGAAATAAGACTTGTTTCCTGTTCGGAAAAAAACCAGATATTTTCAGTATAAAATATTTAAATACACAAAAAAGTACTACTTAAATCTTATTTTTAAAATTTAATATTATATTAACTCGAAAATATCCACATGAACAACAATTTCCAAAGTTCTAAATAAACTTTCTGTCTTTTTAATTAAAAATTTTACCACCCTCGTAAAATTTGCAAAAAACGGAGCTGCTGTGTTAATTCACTGACGCCTTCATTAAGCGTTGACATTTAACAACGTTTTTCTAAACTGTTAAAAAATTGAACGCAGACAAAATATTTTTCCTTAATGTATTGAACTATAGAAGGTTCAAATTCTTGTAAATTTAATACAATATTGATAATTATTAAGAATTACTCTAGCTGCTGTCTAACTTTATTCACACTGTTGTAAATACTTTTAAATGTTTTAATATTTAATTTAATTTGTAGGGCGTGCACAAAATATATTAGTATAGTAACTATAGTAACCATCCTTACGAATCGGGAAAATTAGAAAATCGAGTTGAAAAATAAAGTGCGACTTTTTTTCTTAAAAAATATTTGTGGGTCAAATTGTTGGAAAGAACTAACTGTCCTTGAAAAAGTCGTTGTAAAAATGCAGATCAAGTATTTAGGTATTTATTTTGATAAACAAATAATATTATCAAGGAGAAACATAAACTTACAGAATATCAAATAATATTGGTCCCAAGTATACTAAAATTACTGATGAACAGTGGTGGTAGACGATAATGCAGTGTTAGTTTAGATTGCACGTTTATATTATTTTATTTTACTACTCGGTATGGGGTCGTATTATTATTATTTTCTTACGTATTTCTGTTGTACTTTCCGTTTTGTTTTCAACGCTTCCGAAAAATCCTTGACCGCCGGACAACAGAAGCAAACAATTTACACTGAAGCACACTCGTGACACCACTATACTTGAAGTATCTCGACCGTTATACAGTGTACCTAATTTGCAGCGTAGCTTTTCCGCGGGCATAATCGATTCATTCTGCTTCAACTAACACATATATATATATAATATATATTCTGCACATCATACGAGCTGTTTACAAATAGCTTTTAGAAACGGGGCGGAAAAAGCTGGCGTGTTTCGCCGCCGATCGTGATTAGTAAATCCTAGCAGTAAGACCTAGCTTTTATGACATTATACATATTATATGCGAGCGTGTGTGTGTGTACGTACAAAGCGATCGGGCTTTGACTTTGACATGATATTATAATATGTATACAAATCCGATGGGATCGTAGACGTCGTATCCTACAGCAGAATGATTATTAGGGGTGAGTACGGGAACGTGGTGGATGAGAGGTTGTGTGACGAAAATAAAACGTATGCGCATACTACACCGTGCTCGAGTATTACAATAATTTATAGTGGAGGGAGCGCGTCTGAAACCAGAGAACTATAATACTCCCTCCCTTAATCCATGGGCGTCACTAGAATTTGAAACAAACAAACAAATTTATACTTGTTAAGAATTTAAAAACCTTTTTTTATTCAATTCTACGTTTAAAAATACAAAATAAGTACTAAAAAAACTACCCACGTATACACTTTATGCTAAATTCTATGGACATTTGTCTGTTGACTTATTATTTTGTCTCCACTCAATTTAAAATACGTCTTTTAACCATCGTAAAGTTAAAATATTACCTAATATATACATAATAAAAACCTGGTTGCACGAGAATTCCAGTTCTAAAAGAAAGCTATTTCGGTCAAATACGTACTTAAAATATGTTTTTGAATATATGTCGATATATTTTGTATTCAATAATAATATTATTTATTCAATTGGTATTTAAATAATACCTATTGGTAACGTAATTGAAAAAAATAGTTGCAGCCGATACGCACAATGAAATTATTTTGAATAAAATATGTGTTTGTATACAGATGACTGCATATTGTATACCTACTGCAGCGGCGTTATTTGAAGTGGTAATTTTTTAGTGAATGTATTTTTTATTTCTCTGGTTTAGTCGATTTTTCGAGGGATCAATGAGCCGACTTCATAATATTATAATCTTCTAAACTATTGGGCACGTCACGTGTGTCAAAGAACAAATCGTACAACTTTTTATGGGATTGTTTCGAGTACAACTTACCGATATAGGACTGGGGTCCGCTGCCGTGTGGCATATACGCAGACGACAGTTGTCCGGGAAACCGTTGTGGCTGGAACTTTTCCGGCTCGGGAAAGTGTTCGGCGTCGTGGTGAAGCGCGTGCACCGGAACTACGATCAGCGAATCCGGTTCGATGGTTCCGCGGCCACCGGTGCCGGGCACAACGTACGGTTTGGTGGCCACGCGGCGCACGGCGGTCGCCAGCGGGTACTTCCGCAAAGTTTCTGTGGACAGGACGAAACAAATTTTAAATATTAACAAACAAAGTCCACATCGTAGACTCTACGATATAATATATTTGGTGTCAACCACTCGGTGTTGAATTTGAGCTCGACGAACTCGATTTAAAAAACCAATTGGTTCACTAAACTGTGGTTCATCTATTTTCAGTATAAAATTATTATTTATTCGGTATGTCGTCATATTTTTTATGTCCACGCAAACCGTCGAAAACACAATATTTGTAAAAAAAAAAAATGTTCTGCAGAGTATAATGTAAATCGTAGCCTTTTCTATTTGGGTTTCGTTCGACTTGACTTTAGAAATCAAATAAACTACTAGAAACTAAGTTCAAACGAAACGATTAATGCAATTAAAATAATATACAATATAATATAATTATAGAAGGCACAGGAAATTTAATTAAATTTACCAATGGTTAATTAATTATTGTCCCTTCAAAGTGCACACCGATATTATATTGCTACTAATGCACGGTTTCCTAACCCAGCAAACCACTGTTGGATTTTTCTTCTGCCAGGCAGTCTATGGAAAATATTCTAGTTGTAGTTACTCATATTATTATAATATGATACTTAATGAAAATGTCACAACTCACTAAAATTGGTCAAATGGGTTAGGAAACAATGCACTTATTACTATATATTATAGAATATTCCGTTTTAAATTGTACTGCATTGGAATTGAGGTTCTTTTTTTTTTTTGAATAATTAATTTCAATACATAATTATTAAAAATTGTGTATATTTAGAAGCTGACAAAACATTTTTATAAAAACCTGATCAACCCATACTGTATTAGAAAAATATCTTAACAGAAAAAAAAGAGTCTAACAGAATCTAAACTATGTAAAATTCTTTTGAGCATCAAATAGTAGCTCGTGATCAGAGATGGGCAAGTAACTCGATTAGTTGTAACTGCAGGTTACAAGTTACACTTAAGTTGTGTATCTACTTCTGTTACAAGCTGCTTTGGAAAGTCAAAACTGGTTCCAAGTTACAGTGCTACTTAAATCCACTTGGTTACATTTAAAGTTACAAGCTGTTTAACAACATGATATGTTTGAATCTACAAAAATGACTAAATATTTTTTTAAATTTATTTTGCATGAATAGAATGTACTAATATAAATATAGGAGTAGATACAGAAAACAGTTTATTATAAAAGGTACTTATCTTTTTTCGTGTCGAAGTTTGTAACTACAAAATATTATAGGTGCATTACCGTTGTTTGTAAATCTTTATTATGCTTACATTTGCATTTGAAGTTCACAAAAATATTTACAACGATTCTTATTGATACTAACATTATGTTTAAATTGGCTGAACACAAGTGTTTTGTGTAGTAAATAAATTTCAGTTAAAGCTAGTCCATAGCCCATTTATTAGGTACCTACTTTAATATGTAAAAAACAATAAAAACATCCTCTTCAAGGATAATTTCAATATTTAATAAAATAATTTTAAGGATTATTTTTATGAAATCGCATTTAACACTAATTTTAACTTGGTATAAAGTTAGGTCAGGTTAGGTAAGGTTAGGTATACATAAATTTACCGGTGATAACGATTTCCTAATATCATTATTAAAGAATTCAATGTACTTTTTGTCGGATGGGATTTAATTTAATCAAGGTAGGTACATAATGAAAATATTAATTATTAGAGTAACATGGCGTGTAAGTTCCTGAATAATTCCTGAATAGACTAAACCTCGTGACGGGAATGTCGGAATGTGTGAAATTCAAAGTCACATTAATTTAGAAAATATGTCAAGATATTTCCGCTATCGAGTTTTCTCTGGGGTAGACCATTTATTTTGAAATAAGTAAAAAAAAAAATCATCATTTTCGTAATAAGAAGCATAACATTATGATAATACTTATATTGACTTACATTCTTAACATACATCGTTGGTGAAGGAACGCGGTAAACGAAATAACATAATATTATTTTTAGTGGGTAAAATTGTTTCGATAGAACGATCAAGGCGTTGGATTAATTAGTACATCGTCACTAAATTTTTCCTCTAAACAACGGGTGTAGTGTAGATCCTAGTACTCAGTTCACCTTATTATTACAAAATGATTTTGAATCATATACCTGGAGGAGACGTTGTGAGCCTCAAGTATTTTCCTATTGAATTATTTATAGTTTGCAATGGTTGTAGGAATTTATATGATATTCTAAAATGAAGTACATATATCATTATATACCGAGAAGTGTGTTATGTGCAATAGCTTATACGGCCAAAAACCAGTAAAAAAATGTCTTGATTGTCTACGAGTGTTCGTCAAAAGTCCACTGTCATATAATAGTCATTGCTAAATTTCCATGATCATAATTTCAGATTGGATATATTAGTATCGATCAAGCTTGATAAAATGTGAAACTAGATATTTTATAAATTATTGGAAAACGTGATTTAATAATTTACATTTTGAAACACACATTTTAGATTCTGTGCGTTGAGATGAACGATGTACTTTATTCTTATAAAAATGTTTTGCGTCTTATTGGATTATATGTATATAAGTCGCGAACCGCAGCATAGCCGTCCTTGCTAGGTAGGTTATAATTTATAATGTCAACAACTGATGCAGTAGGTGCATTTAAAGGTCTCATTAAAAACGGATGGACAAAGTCTTGATGCATTATAATGTCGTACCTATAGCAATATACAATGATGTATTATATTATGGCTGTATGCGAGTCAACTACTCAGAGGGTGTGACGAAAATAACTGAATAATGTAATATCAACAAACTATGCATACCACAACTTTTGCTCAAATCGATATTCAAAATTGTTTTCAAAATATATAATTAGTAATTAGTAATAATTGTAATTAGTGGTGATTCATAAAACGATATCATGCATACATCATCGTTCTAAATAAAATCGTGCACAATCAACAATCTGGTTCATATTATTTTCAACGTACGATAAAATTTCCATCGTCATAATTTTGATTATTCTATACATTATTATGAAGGTGTCAATTACAATAATTTCAACTGAAATAATTATCATTTATTTCTAGCATGCCTCTGTAACAGATACCTGTTTCGTATAGTTTTTAAATTGCACAGTGCGTGAAATAAAAATGTCAGTAGGTACACGTTGATTATTTTTTCAAAAGCCACAAGTCAAAAATGTTAGTTTATTAGTTAACAGAAAAAAATGGATTATTATAACATAGTTTTGCTATTGGTGGTTTTTTTTATTTACAATACAAGTGTGAATACACTTTGAAATGTACTTATCCGGATTTACATAGTTCGAATTGGGATAAAAACAATACTTTATAATAATAATAAAACGACCAACGTAATATAATGTGAGTGCCATATAGTTTTAATTTGTTTTAATGACTGTACTTACTAAAATGGTATTCATATTATGAAACTTTGGAGTTTTTTTTAATAATTTTTTTAAATGATTGGCGATGAGAACATTTCACTATTTTAGCGACACTTTCTATTAATACTTCAGATTTTGCAAATCCTGAAATAATATAATGTGCTTGAAAAAGTAGTATTACCACAATGTTTATTGTTTAGTATAATACATTACGTGAAACACATTATATTGATTAAAAAGATAAATTTATGGACAAAGAATTTTATTTTCTTGATAATTTTTGTACAAAAAATTTTATATTATATTCGTATTATACTTTTACAACAATGCCAAAGTAATATACTATTATTGAATACACTATTTCGAAATTCTTTATCGAGTTTTAATATATCGCAAACTGGTATATTCTCTTAGAATGCTTTGTGGTTAGCCGGAAGGATTTGGAATACTTTTTATTTTTAGAATAGTTTTCCTCTCTCGGCTCTTTCTTTTGGCGAGTCCATAAGGTTTAGGGTACGAAACGGGCGATGGAATTTATTTTGTTTCATGTAATTCTTTCTCAAAAAAAAAAATCGAATTCTATATTTACTTCATGATTTCATACTAAACAAACTTTGAGAATTGAGTACATAAAATATAAATATATATATATATATTATATTATACAGCTAAAAAGTTATTTTGTTCAACGCTTTACACAAAGTATTAGTGTTAAACATTCAACATACGAACTTATATCGACGACTATTCAGGAATGAGAACTTTCGACATAATATTATTATTATTATTATTACATAAAGTAAAATTTATTATTAACAGAATATTTGAAATTATTAGATAAATACGTTAACCTATAATAATATGTGCATTATTTTGATTTGTGTGAATAAAATAAATTTTAAACTTTTTTTGGTACACATATTATTTATATTTAATTTGAAACAAATGTGAAATTATCATGCCTTAAATTTTTCTCTGTGGTGAATGTATTTTATGAGCGATCATTCAATGTATTCAAGTTCCAAACTATATGCAAAATATTTTGTAAATAAATAATGATACTCAAACGTACAAAATTATATTCATAAAAAATTATTAATTTATAAAAAAACTAATCAAAAACCATGTCAACTTCGAATTGTTTTTTGAATCCGATGATCTCAAATTGAAAATAGTAATTGGTACGCGGTGATATAATCGAAGAAAAAACGCCCCTAAATCTGAAGTGCAGTATAATATTTGATTAAATATATAATTAAATATAATTATAGGTTATTACAAATTAACATTTTATTTGAGTTGTGGAACTTATTACCGTGTAGTGTGTAGCTTATATTTTAATACACCTTTGAATATATACCTTTGTCGTAAACTAGTACTCATACCCGCATAAAATATACATAGAACAGTAATATTTATCTGATGAATAGTATATTATTGTGACTGACGTCCCGAATAGGGACTATTTTGACATTAATTAGCATGCCATGAACTCACAATTCCATGCATAAAATATATATTTTCTACATCGCCACGACCAAAAATAAATAAATGATTTCTTTATGACGATATGATAATAATTGAAATATGGTAGAGTCACGCGTATATTATAGGTAGGTAT